AGTGACATCATGTCCCTCCATCACAGGGAGGACAGGACTCTGCAGGATCACTGGTCCACCTCAACACAGAGACAAACTACAGCATTTCATCATTTACACACAGCTTCATCAACACTAACTCCACAGTCTGATCTTACCAGTGACAGTGATGCTGATGGTGTTACTGGTTGCTCCCTCTCTGGACTCACACCAGTAAACTCCACTGTCCAATGCAGCGATGTAGCTGATGTAACAGGAAGAACCAGCTGGTTCTCCTCCCCAGTCGTCACACTGAGTCCTGGTTTCTCTGGTTGTGTTCCTCCTCAGCGTCCATCCAGCAGAGCTGTCATCCTCCTCACAGCTCAGAGAGACAAACTCTTCTTCAAACAGCTGAGAGCTGCTGGGACTCACAGTCAGAGAGGCTGGAGGAAGAGACAGAAAGATGTGGTTAGAGAGAACATTTGCATTAATTTTCTCCACATTCCTACTTTCTCACTTCTTCACTACTGAACTGATCTCTGAGTTTCAGTCGCTGAGTTTCAGAGAAGAAATCCGAATCCCACTGATTTGATTTTCCCAAATGTTTTCTGCATACTTATAACGTTGGTTGAGGTGTGACAGAAGTTTGCTCACCTTGGTATGTTGTGCAGCTCAGCAGTGAGGTCAGAACTAAAGAGAAAACACACTCAGGTTGGTTTGAGGTTTTACATGAAACAAGACATCTGGACTTTCTACAAAACAGAACAACAGCCACACATTGATATTAGCTTTGGAAATAACAAATTGTATTTTATTAAGGAGACATACAATTTTGATTTAGTTCAATTTCCCCAAACAGAGCAGTCAGGACATGGAACCTTCAAGGAGGACGCAGCAGGAGTGAAAGATGGCGTTGGGGCCTCTCCTACGCATTATCTACTTTGTTCCAGAGAGTTGGATAGCTGAGCTGAAGCCTGTTTCCCTTGTGTGTAGGGTGGATAGATGGATTTTAGGATATTTAAAAACAGCCTCAGAAGAGACCTCCATTTCCTGTGTTGCCTCTGTGTGGCACATTACAATTAGTTGCTTGTCTTGTGTGGGTTTTGAGTTGTTTTTAGTTTTGCACGTTTAGTTATTTAGTTTTTTGCTTTTATATTTGGTTGTTGTGTTTATTCTTATATTAAGACAAGCTTAGCAGAGGTAGCCAAAGGACTGATCCAAGCATTGTGAAGCGTGCAGTTTCCTTGACTCCTTGACTGCTGTCACCACTCGGTCATTTAAGGTTACTGTTTCTCACCATCAGGCGGCCAGAAGGAGGACTGAGAGCTTGGAGGAGCTCAGCAGGTGGAACAAAGCGTACTGGAGGATTCTGGAAACACACTGAGCAGCTTTGGCCCCGGAGTATTTGCCACTGTCAATTTTATAAACAATTAAGGTGCCAATAAATGAATAAACCCTGTTTTAACTTGTTTGTTTTTGTGTATTTTAACTTTGTTAAATTATTAATAATTGTGTTTTAAATAGTCATCCTCTGGTCCGAGCTTGGCATGTGTGTGCTTTTCTCTTCTGTAGCGCTTCAGGATAGTAAATACCTTTCTGTATAAAACTTTTCTACATGCTTTCAACCTCTTTCTTCTATTTTATGATATACTGTAAGAATAACTACTGTTAACAATTGCAATGAACACTTGCTGTAATGTTTGTGTTGCTTTTTGGTGCCATATTATCAAACAACACTGAAATTCCTGCTCTGTTGTTGCAGTTAACATGTACACGATCTGTTTGGCTGATTTCTGTCTTTGTATTCATGTTGTTCACTCTATAACTCGCTGTTGCTTTCAAAATCACCAGAAATGTTTGAGACCTAATCTTTGAGACATCGTGGAGACAAACATTCACACATTAAGTAGATTCTTACTTACCAAGCAGCCGCGGTAAAGATGATTTCTCCATTTTAACTCTTGGTTATCTGAGATCAACACATTAATGTTCAGTCACACCAAGTAAAACCCTCCTCCTTCCTCTTTGTGTGTCACTCGAACTCTTGTGGTTTTCTTTCACAAAGTTAACAGGAAATATACTTCATGTTAAGTCTCAGTGGAAAACTTACCAGGTTGTGCAGAGGCACAGTGGTGACACTTACTGAGAGACAAATCACATCTTTTGCCAATTTAGTCTTTCATAGACAGCATGTATTAACTTTGTATTTGTATATAATTTACCAAACAAATATACATCTATAAAAATACCCCCCCCCCCACTGCTGAAGTCTGAGATCCTGAGTTCAACATCATCTACAAGTCAAACTAGAACATGAGGAGTTCCACAGGGAAGTGTTGTGGGTCCTCTGCTGTTTGTGATCTATGAAGGAAATCTGAGGTTTATTTGCCCGTAGTCATCACCTGAACCTTCCTCAGCCTGAGTGGGCGGGGTCATTGTTATAGAGGCAGGCAGGTCATTTTCTGCAGTCAGAGCAGAGATCCAGCTGGATGGAGACTCTCCACGACCGCTGATGTCACACTTGTAGAGGCCTTCATCAGACTTGTTAACATGGTAGATGATCATGTGACCTGTAGGCTCAGTCCTGATGAGGGAGCCATCTTTATAGAAACCAGCTGGGAGGTTGGAGGGAGGGGTCTCTGTTTTACAGTGCAGAGTGACATCATGTCCCTCCATCACAGCGAGGACAGGACTCTGCAGGATCACTGGTCCATCTCAACAGTCATTTGTATCCTCATGTTTGTGTCTATGTTGTTTTGTAATTACCTTTCAATCCCTCAGTGTGTGCAATCTTGTCTTTCTTGGTCTGTAGGTCCTTCAGCTGCCTCTACACAGGATGTTACTTTGATCGATGTCTCTGTGTACATATTTTCTTAATGCTAAAAAACAATAAATTCAGTATTTGTTTATATTTAATTCAGGTAGCTGAATGTACTCGCTGTGCATGCACAGGCATTTAGTAAGTTGCAGTGAAGTAAGTAAGCAAAGTCAGTGACACAGTTGACTGGATGAATACTTGATGTCCCGTTCACTAACAGACTGGGCACCTGTCACATAGTGAGTAAGCTCATTCATACAGCGGCAGGGTCTCTCCATTCCTCAGTGAACGTTGTTCTCAGTAGCTTTGTGAAAAGGTCTTTAAAGGATCAGCTCACGCCCCACATGTACGCTGAGTGGTCCCTTCATAATACGACTACAGCGTCAGAGATGAAGGACAAAGACCACAGTCCTCGTCCTAAAGTTCTGACGAAGCTAAATGAGAGACAGAGCAACAAGCAATGTTCTTGTTTTCAGTCACTGGCTGCCTGACAAATCTGCTTTTGGCTCTTCACAGATAAATCTAACATGTGGTCGGAAGTGGCAGCATTGATTGTTGGAGGACTTATTATTACTTATCTGATATAAAAGACGATGTATGAACCCCAAGTCAGGCCGTGATGGTGAGTCCTGCTTGCTACAGTCTCGGCCTCAGCCAGCCGATGAAACATCTGAAGCCAGTTCTGATGATTAAAGTGTGACTTAACATTAGATCCACCTGCGTTTGCTCTATTTTACTATGAATGAAATCAAATGAGTTAATATCAGGAGGAGGTTACATTAAAAATAGACTTCCAGGTTTTAAGGCAGCACCTTGTTTAGTATCAAGAGCAACATGAACATTTGGTGAAGTCATGTGGGGAAGCTTCACTTTGTGCTGAGGAGACTTTGCTGAAGAATCAAATCATTATCAGTGACAATTTGGTGAACTGTGATGCGATATTTATGAAACTGTCAGGAACTGGGCAGAGCAGAGGCAGGGGTGCTCCTCCGAGTGTCTGGTTAGTGCGGGGAGGATGGCGTGGCAGGCAGTAGCATGTTGCTCCTCAGCCAGCACGGTCACGCCCACTGCTACTCCCACTCTCTACAACACATCAACCATCCATTCACTCAAAGGAGAAAATAAATAAAAAAACAAACACATACCAATAGCCACAGCCGGATCATGGCAGTGCTATCGTGATGAAACCAAATCTGAGGGCCTTGCTGGGGCTGCAGCTTTCATCAGTGTGGAACTGCCAGTAGTAGGAGTAGTATGTTTTTATCAATTTAATCAAACATACTAGAAATCTTTTCCAACCTTAATTTTAGTGTCTGAAAAAGTATTTATGTGTTTTTATTGTTCAGATAAACGAGTGATACTGAATGATAAAGATGGCTCCCTCATCAGGACAGAGCCTACAGGTCACATGTCCATCCACCATGTTTCCAAGTCAAGTGTGACATCAGCGGTCATGGAGAGTCTCCATGCAGCTGGATCTCTGTCACAGGTGAGGAGGCTGCTCAGTAGATATTTTGGTCGGTTGTTAATTTGAGGAGAAGCTCAGCAGGTTCATAAGTTACAGTAGAGTTGATCACATCAACGTGCTGTTGTAGTCTTCACACAAACCAAATCACCAAATCATCATCAAACCAAATACAACCTTAAACGGTGTTACAAACTCACCTGGTGCTGTATCTAGTTTATATTAAAGCAGTGCAGGTGGTGACTGAGTGTGGAAGTGCCCCTGAAGCTTTGTGGAAACAGAAAGCACAGTGACATCTGGTGGCTTGTAGAAGTTATTGCAACTAAAATTTAGGATGAAAACACATCACTTTATTATTTCTGTTGCATAATCAAGTGTAAAGATTTACAAATTAAAGTGCTCCTCTAAACCAACACATTCTCATCTGAATGCATCATAACTGACGCTTTCAGACAGCGTGACAAAGCGTAAGGATTTTACACTAAAGGCACCCTTCAGCGTCCCTATGAAACGCCCCTGTTTGCTACGTTGCAGCAACACAAGGGAGGCTAATTTGGCCTCCCTTGTGTTGCGGGAGGTTAGTTTGGGTCTGCATTTCTACAAACAGAGTTGGGGATTTGGTCAAAATGAATGGTCTCCTCAATGATGACAAGTGAAGGCAGGTACTTATTCATCATGCAGTTCCATCAGGGAGTCACCTGATTTATCTTCCATGCATAACTTTCAGTTTACAAATCAGAATAAAAAATCAGATCATGACTGCTCACATAATTGTGGAAAAAGACCAATTATTGTGTGATAATACACTGCTCAAAAAACTAAAGGGAACACTTAAACAACACAATGTAACTCCAAGTCAATCACACTCCTGTGAAATCAAACTTATTAACTGAACACTTAGGAAGCAACACTGATTGACAATCAATTTCACATGCTGTTGTGCAAATGGAATAGACAACAGGTGGAAATTATAAAGGCTCCTTGGCTTTTCAGAGTGATATAGGCAGTAAAAACATTTAGTATGACACTAGTAGAAACACTAGTATGCTAATGAAGCCTGAATGAAAACATTATTTAACAAAAGTAGTTAAGGACCCCTGGTTTAAGTTACTATCAGCAGGTTGAAGGCAGGAATCTAGCTTGATGCATATTTGCATAGTAGGCTAGAACAAACATTGTTATCAGCATCATAAATTGAACTTTTGAAAGTTTTAATTATTTAGCCTTTAGGCCTACATGCCTTTGAACCACTAACTTACACTGTGGACGTGGACACAAAGATATATTAAATGTACTGAAATTATACAAATGTCATTGTAAAGGCTATCATTTATTTGAAAGCTGATTTTATTGTCTTCTTGTTTCTGCAAATGAGATATATGTCTTGTTCAGTTTTTTCATTATGCAGTATAGTAAGCATTTTCTCAATGTAGGGCTATGACAACTAAGATGGTATTTTAGCGTTGTCTTATACATTGGGAAAGATGAATGCTTTAATAAACATGAGGGAAATTAGTTATGAGTTAGGCTATACCTAACCCCATTTAAGCATGATACTCATAGCAAACCTGGTTTAACCATAATAAAGTAATTGTAGGATACAGTGTGTTGAGAAAATAGGGTTGAAATGTGGTGAGATTTCAAACTCTGCAGACTCGAGCACAAACCAAAGATTATCATTATTTGTTTAAATGTGGTAAGAGTGGTTCATCAGTGACTACCCTAATCACCATCTGTTCAACTTCATTAAGAACCAGAACACACTGAACACACTGGATCAGCTCAGAAGTGATGCTCTGTGGTGACATCATCATAGTCATCATCCAATCCCTCCTCAGCCTGGGTAGACGGGGTCATCACCATAGAGACTGGCAGGTCATGTCCTGCACTCAGAGCAGGTTAGAAAGAAAATTTACTTAATTTATCTTCATCTAACTGTCAATCACTGATTGTGGTGGTGATGGTGCAGTGGATAAGACAAATGTCTTTGGTGTGAGAGACCTGGGTTCAATTCCACCAATGTGCCCCTGAGCATGGAACTTAACTCCTAGTTGCTCCATAGGTGTGCGACATCTGACATATATACAGTAGTAATTGTAAGTTGCTTTGGATAAAATTCTCTGATAAATGTATTGATTGATTTTATGAATTGACTTATTGTAAGGTCAGTGAATGATTCAGTGTTACCTGTGGCCCTGTGTCGATATAAAGACACCATGAGGACAGTGGAGATGCAGTACGGACAGAAGACCACCAGGTGGTAGATCAGTCTAAACACAAGCTGGAAGGGGGCTGAGGCAGGGGGTGTTGGAGGAGGCGGGGTTGTCGGGGTGGGCAGAGCTGCAGATGTGGGCAGAGCTGCGGATGTGGGCAGAGCTGAGGTTGTAGGTTTACCTGTGGAGAGAATCCACCTGGTCAGGTCAATCTCTGGATGAAATAAGTCCTGAAATCAAAGGTAACCTCCTCACCTGTGACAGAGATCCAGCTGGATGGAGACTCTCCACGACCTCTGATGTTACACTTGTAGAGGCCTTCATCAGACTTGTTAACATGGTGGATGGTCATGTGACCTGTAGGCTCAGTCCTGATGAAGAAGCCATCTTTATAGAAACCAGCTGGGAGGTTGGAGGGAGGGGTCTTTGTTTTACAGTGCAGAGTGACATCATGTCCCTCCATCACAGGGAGGACAGGACTCTGCAGGATCACTGGTCCACCTCAACACAGAGACAAACTACAGCATTTCATCATTTACACACAGCTTCATCAACACTAACTCCACAGTCTGATCTTACCAGTGACAGTGATGTTGATGGTGTTACTGGTTGCTCCCTCTCTGGACTCACACCAGTAAACTCCACTGTCCAATGCAGCGATGTAGCTGATGTAACAGGAAGAACCAGCTGATCTTCCCCAGTCGTCACACTGAGTCCTGGTTCTTTCTGGTTGTGTTCCTCCTCAGCGTCCATCCAGCAGAGCTGTCGTCCTCCTCACAGCTCAGAGAGACAGACTCTCCTTCAAACAGCTGAGAGCTGCTGGGACTCACAGTCAGAGAGGCTGGAGGAAGAGACAGAAAGATGTGGTTAGAGAGAACATTTGCATTAATTTTCTCCACATTCCTCATATTCCTACTTTCTCACTTCTTCCCTGCTGAACTGATCTCTGTGTTTCAGTCGCTGATTTCAGAGAAGAAATCGAATCCCACTGATTTGATTTTCCCAAATCTTTTCTGCATACTTATAACGTTGGTTGAGGTGTGGCTACATGAGTTTTTTTATTCATTATCTGTTAAGTAATTATCTCAGTGTTGCAGACTGCACACCTGTGGCTGTGACAGAAGAAGTTTTCTCACCTTGGTTTGTTGTGCAGCTCAGCAGTGAGGTCAGAACTAAAGAGAAAACACACTCAGGTTGGTTTGTGGTTTTACATGAAACAAGACATCTGGACTTTCTACAAAACAGAACAACAGCCACACATTGATATTAGCTTTGGAAATAAAAAATTGTATTTTATTAAGGAGACATACAATTTTGATTTAGTTCAATTTCCCCAAACAGAGCAGTCAGGACATGAACCTTCGACGCAGCAGGAGTGAAAGATGGCGTTGGGGCCTCTCCACGCATTATCTACTTTGTTCCAGAGAGTTGGATAGCTGAGCTGAAGCCTGTTTCCCTTGTGTGTAGGGTGGATAGATGGATTTTAGGATATTTAAAACAGCCTCAGAAGAGACCTCCATTTCCTGTGTTGCCTCTGTGTGGCACATTACAATTAAAGACTTAATAGTTACTGGTCTAGTTGCTTGTCTTGAGTGGGTTTTGAGTTGTTTTTAGTTTTGCACGTTTAGTTATTTAGTTTTTTGCTTTTATATTTGGTTGTTGTGTTTATTCTTATATAAGACAAGCTTAGCAGAGTTAGCCAAAGGACTGATCCAAGCACTGTGAAGCGTACAGTTTACTTGACTCCTTGACTGCTGTCACCACTCGGTCATTTAAGGTTACTGTTTCTCACCATCAGGCGGCCAGAAGGAGGACTGAGAGCTTGGAGGAGCTCAGCAGGTGGAACAAAGCGTACTGGAGGATTCTGGAAACACACTGAGCAGCTTTGGCCCCGGAGTATTTGCCACTGTCAATTTTATAAACAATTAAGGTGCCAATAAATGAATAAACCCTGTTTTAACTTGTTTGTTTTTGTGTATTTTCCTTTGTTAAATTCTTAATAATTGTGTTTTAAATAGTCATCCTCTGGTCCGAGCTTGGCATGTGTGTGTTTTTCTCTTCTGTAGCACTTCAGGATAGTAAATACCTTTCTGTATAAAACTTTTCTACATGCTTTCAACCTCTTTCTTCTATTTTATGATATACTGTAGGAATAACTACTGTTAACAATCGCAATGAACACTTGCTGTAATGTTTGTGTTGCTTTTTGGTGCCATATTATCAAACAACACTGAAATTCCTGCTCTGTTGTTGCAGTTAACATGTACACGATCTGTTTGGCTGATTTCTGTCTTTGTATTCATGTTGTTCACTCTATAACTCGCTGTTGCTTTCAAAATCACCAGAAATGTTTTAGACCTAATCTTTGAGACAACGTGGAGACAAACATTCACACATTAAGTAGATTCTTGCTTACCAAGCAGCCGCGGTAAAGATGATTTCTCCATTTTACTCTCGGCCATCTGAGATCAACACATTAACGTTCACCAGTCAAACCAAGTAAAACCCTCCTCCTTCCTCTTTGTGTGTCACTCGTTCTCTCGTGGTTTTCTCACATAGTTAACAGGAAATAAACTTTATGTTGAGGCTCAAATTGAAAAACTGACCAGGTTGTGCAGAGGCACAGTGGTGACACTTACTGAGAGACAAATCACATCTTTTGCCAATTTAGTCTTTTATAGACAGCATGTATTAACTTGGTATTTGTATATAATTTACCAAACAAATATACATCTATAAACATATGATGAACAACATATGATCATGTGGCAATAAATAAAGGACAATTGAAAAATAGAGACATGTGGTTTGTTCTTGTCAGAAACCCAGTCATAGTCACCAGCTGTGCTCATTGTTTTTACACTGTACCTTCATCATCATCATCATTCAACCTCACCCCTGTATTCTGGCATGGCTGCAGAACATTGACTTTGAAGCCAAAAGGTTCTCAAGACCGACAGGCTTGTAAAAGTCCCCCCAAGAAATTCATATATTTTGTTATATTTACTTTTACTTACGGGTCACCTGACCCACCTGTCTGTCTTTACTTAGTTTATTTCTTCAAACAGAGAAACAAAAAAAATGAAACAAAATTGGACAGTTATTTTAATTACTTTTTTTTGATTCATGGAAATATGGCTCTGTTTTTTGTTTCTTCACTTTTAGGTCCATGCAAAAAACAAAACAAAACAATTATAAAAACAAACTATTCAAATGTATACCTCTCTTCCCGACTGCTGACCTGACTCATGACTTTTAGGGGGCAACTTTATGAATGCCATCCGCAAAAATGGCTAGTAAGAGTGACTGTGGCAGGCCACTGCTGAATTCAACCCACGTTTTCTTCATTTTGTACATAAGCACATGTCCTTATTACATCTGTTGTGTTTAACACCTCTGGTTTCACCATGTACCGTTAGCCCCGTAGTATAACACAGAAACTCACAAGTTAAGGCAAACATTGGCAACAGGCTATGTACCACAGTACTTTAAAGTAGCTGTAATTAAACCTCTTCCGCTTTTGATCGAGGGGTTTTAGCAAACTGTAAACCTATATTTAACCTTCCATTTCTCCCAAAGATGCTTGAGAAAGCAGTCGCCAAACAGCTGTGTGACTTTCTACAGAGCAAGAGTTTATTTGAGGATTGTCACTCAGGATTTAGAGATCATCATAGCACAGAGACAGAACTGGTGAAAATTACTAATGACCTTATCCAATACAAATATTATTGACATTTGTGAATCGATCCATAATCGTCCAAGTCCCCATCGCGATGCATCTAAAAATCAATTATTTCCCCCACCCCTAGTGGAGAGTGGCTGAGTCCAAACAAATCCATAAAGAAACAAAATCAAAACAGCCAATCAAAATCAAAAGAAGGCAAAAGTGCAACAAAGATCCACAAACAAAACAAGCAAGATTAAAAACTGGAACACATTTGAAAGAGCACAACAAGCTACAAGGATCTGACAAAAGGGAACAAACAAACCTACCGTTATATAGAGGGGGCAGGGTAACTGTAACACAGGTGAGACACATGGGACTAACCAGACTGAACAGAAAACAAAGCTAGACAAAGACACCGGACGCTCCAAAACAAACCAGGAAGTAAAACTCACAAAGACGCACGAGGGCGACTTAAAAAAAATAAAAACAGAGCACAGAAACAAACAAACAACTGACAAAAAAACAAGAACACAGGAGGCGGGGAGTGATAAACACAGGAGGAAATGGCAGAAACACAACAAAGATGAACAAATAAAAAGCCAAACCCAAAACATGATACATCCTCTGTATAACTTGTAACTTAGCATGACAGAGACTGAGGTTTCAATTTTGTGAAGTTTATTGAAAACTTTTAAAGTAAATAAAAACCCTGTTTTAAAACATCTAAACCAAACAAGCAAGAGTAACAACAAAACTCAAACCAGAACCTGAACCTGAGCTTTTATTTGGACCAAAAACATGTCGACAGCTTTGTCCATTTGTCCAGGGGTCTGTATCATGAAATCTGAGGTTTATTTGCTGATGACGCAAACATTTTATCTTCATTTAAGAATCACAACACACTGGATCAGCTCAGAAGTGATGCTCTGTGGTTACAGCAGTGATGATGTCATCATAGTCATTATCCAATCCCTCATCAGCCTGGGGGGGCGGGGTCATCACCATAGAGGCGGGCAGGTCATTTCCTGCAGTCAGAGCAGGGTAGAAAGAAAATATCAATCAGTAAGCATCAGCTAAATTAATAAAGGTAAAGATTGATCTATTAATTGATTGATTGATTGATTGTAAGGTCAGTGAATGATTCAGTGTTACCTGTGGCCCTGTGTTGATATAAAGACACCATGAGGACAGTGGAGATGCAGTACGGACAGAAGACCACCAGGTGGCAGATCAGTCTAAACACAAGCTGGAAGGGGGCTGAGGCAGGAGGCGATGGAGGAGGCGGGGTGGGCAGAGCTGAGGTTGTAGGTTTACCTGTAGAGAGAATCCACCTGGTCAGATGAATTTATGGATGAAATAAGTCCTGAAATCAAAGGTAACCTCCTCACCTGTGACAGAGATCCAGCTGGATGGAGACTCTCCACGACCGCTGATGTTACACTTGTAGAGGCCTTCATCAGACTTGTTAACATGGTGGATGGTCATGTGACCTGTAGGCTCAGTCCTGATGAGGGAGCCATCTTTATAGAAACCAGCTGGGAGGTTGGAGGGAGGGGTCTCTGTTTTACAGTGCAGAGTGACATCATGTCCCTCCATCACAGGGAGGACAGGACTCTGCAGGATCACTGGTCCACCTCAACACAGAGACAAACTACAGCATTTCATCATTTACACACAGCTTCATCAACACTAACTCCACAGTCTGATCTTACCAGTGACAGTGATGTTGATGGTGTTACTGGTTGCTCCCTCTCTGGACTCACACCAGTAAACTCCGCTGTCCCCTGGGAAAATGTAGCTAATGTCACATGATGAACCAGCTGATCTTCCCCAGTCGTCACACTGAGTCCTGTTTTCTCTGGTTGTGTTCCTCCTCAGCGTCCATCCAGCAGAGCTGTCGTCCTCCTCACAGCTCAGAGAGACAGACTTCCAGCTGAAAAACTGAGAGCTGCTGGGACTCACAGTCAGAGAGGCTGATGGGAATTAATTGTATTTTGAGCTAAATTAAAAGACAGCTTGAAGTTTAACAAACATAAAATTAACTTCTGAACTTGATTCCACATAAATAGCTTCAAGGAGCTCAATACAGAGCTGATTCATAGTGTTTCATGATCTGTCGTTTGTTGCAGCTGAATACAGCTCTGAAACTAACTAACATTTCTCCCAGTGGTTTGTAGAAAGTTTTCACTTAAGGGTTTTGTATTGTGAGAGGAGAGCTTTACCAACCTTGTGTGGCTGTGCAGCACAGCATGGCGGTCGGCCCTGAAGGGAAGTGAGTCTCAGATTGGTTTGAGGTTTTATGTTTAACACGATATTAAATCAAACAAATTCTGTTTTTCTGGTTACTGAACATCTCACCTGTATCATGTCAAACACACATATTTCTGTAGTGCTTCATGCAGCAAATATTAATTTAAGGTTGCACAAGATTACACACACAGGGGATCGAATGAAATATCCATCTCCATCCAGCTCGTTGTTTAAGTTAAGCATCATCAAGCCCACAACACACACATGATTGAGAAGAAGGAGTTTTAGTTTGACGTCTTCATATTACTCAGGATGAGCTGCCATTTTCATATTAGTGTGAGTGCAGAGATCAGAAGAACATCGGGAGCAGCTCCCAGTCACTGTTATGAAGAAAGACTATTATGTAACTGTGTGATTAAAATGTAACTTATAATCAGTTTGGTGAGGTGAGTGATTAAAAACTCTACATCAACATAAATTATTACGTTAATTAATTATCACTTCATTTTACACTTGTACAGTAATCTGGGATCAGACGTCATCAAGGATTTTGTTTTCAGTATATCACGTCACCCAGTTATGATTATGTTTCTTCCTGCTCTAAAAGGCTGCACTGCAGTGAAAGAATATTGCATCTAAACATATTAAACTGTTAAACTACGTTTCTCTTCTTGTTTCGGTTTTATAAAAAAAATGTTCTTTGTTTTGAATGTTTACTTTATCAGCCGATATAGAGATATTGTACTTACAGAACAGCCACTGTGTGCATGTTTGTCCCATTGTGCCTCTAACTGATATAAGATCAACACATCGCCACCAAGCCGTCGGTCTCTACACTTAAACCTGCCCACTTCCTCTTTGTAGGTCAGAGCTGTGTGGTTTTCTGTCCAACAGTTGGCAGGAAAGGCGTGACAAGTTTAGTTTATTAGACTCAGAGAATAACCATCAGTGGGTTTATCGACAGAATAAAAATAAAGGATCAGAATCAATGCAGCAGAAGCTGCAGATATTTCCTTTTTTATTCCACACATTCTTCATAATTGTCCAAACCCGACACCTTCATGACCCACACTGCAACTCGACCTTGTGGTTGTTGTGTGTCTGTTATTCTCTCAGTGCCTAATAGAGCCTGGAGCAGATGAGCAGCAGCTAACACACCAACAGATTTGTTTCATTTTCAAACATGAGGTCTTCCGGGTGATGGGACCCAGAGGAAAAACAATAAAGTCACAAAGCAAGTGAAGTTTGTACATAAAGTTTAATTCATGTATACTGTAAATCTTCAATTATTTGCTTCAATCACTGAACTCCCCTGCCTATGGTTGGGCCTTTAATCATTTTGCACAAATGTCTTGCTCAGCAGAGAGGAGAAACAGGCTATCAAATTGTTTATTTTAATCAGGATAAATATCATTCATGCAATAATTAGGATGTCATATCAGATAATAATAATAATCAAGAGAGAGAGAGGGGAGGGAGGCAGCCTACACAATATACACACAGAGGTACAGACAGTAAAGGTGATGTTGCTATAGACTAAATGAAAAATGGCATAATAAAAAAATAACAATAATAGCAATAGGACTAGTAACAATAGTCGTTGCAGCAGAGGGTGTCGAGCAGGAACACGGGGGCAGCAGGTGACTCGCAACCACAGATCCAGACTCCACAGCTCCAGAGCCAGAAAACCTGCAGGAAGTGATAGGAGAGAGGAGAGAGACGAGAAAGCACAAGACTACCAGAAAGGGGAGAAGTTGAGTTAGTAACATGCAATAATGGGATGAGGTTGCATACAGAGGGAGAGAAAGTAGAGGAGAGAGGAGCTCAGTGCATCATGGGAAATCCCCCGGCAGTCTAAGCCTATAGCTGCATAACTAAGGGATGGTTCAGGACTACCTGAGCCAGCCCTAACTATAAGCTTTATCAAAGAGGAAAGTCTTAAGCCTACTCTTAAATGTGGAGATGGTGTCTGCCTCCTGAACCCAAACTGGAACCTGGTTCCACAGGAGAGGAGCTTGATAGCTGAACGCTCTGGCTCCTAGTCTACTTTTGGAGACTCTAGGAACCACAAGTAACCCTGCATTCTGGGAGCGCAGTGCTCTGGTGGGGTAGTAAGGTACTATGAGCTCTTTAAGATAAGATGGTGCCTGACCATTAAGAGCTTTGTAGGTAAGAAGAATGATTTTAAATTCTATTCTGGATTTTACTGGAAGCCAATGCAAAGAAGCTAAAACAGGAGAAATATGCAGAATAACCTCATGCAGAAAGAGAGCGAGAGAGAGAAAGAAAGAGAGGGTAGTTATTTTAACTTGGATTCAACTTGATGAAAAACCCTTAAAAGACCCTTAAATAATTAAAGAATCGACCGCTTCAAAGGTCAACGAGTTTCATCTCTCTTGTTTACCATGCCGGTAAATCTGACTGAATTGTACTTTGGTGGAGAACCTGTTCAATCCAACAAAAACATGTATATTTGTTTATATGATCTGAGCAGCTTAGAACTAGCATTATGGCTGGATTCCACCAGACACGACTGCTTTATGTTCCAGTTGTCTGTCTGCTGTTTGCTGCTGAACAGGTTGCGAACTGCAGGTTTATGAGGGCTTGTTCGATGAAAACAAATCTGAGAGAGGTAAAGTTGTGGGCGGACAGATAAACGATCAGCTAAAACTCACTATGAAGCTCCATGAAGCCAAGGAGAGCTGCAGATTCACGTGATAATTCACTACCAGAGACACCTGCACACTGTCACATTGTCATTTCACACACTGTTATTATATAAATGTCCACTGTAGACACTTCAAGAAGGTTTGACCTAAATATAGAAGGCACATGCTCATGCACTTCTTTGAATAATTTGATTAGTACTGGAGCAGTGTGTGTAATAACCACATTTGTATTTAACAGCAACTTACTGTAAATTGTTCTTCACTGTAAATTATATATAAATATACTAAACCACCAAATCATCAACATTTTTACCCCCAAAACAATGTTTTCATTTAATGTGAGTTGTTATTGTGGGTATTTTTGCTTTGGCTGTTGTATCCTTAAACAGAAATGCAATAAAACATCCATAACTATGTTTTCAGTGGTGTATAAAGACCTTATGATGAACCGTTATGTTTTTATTACCTTATAATGAGACATTTCTATCTACACACACCGCGGGTCCTCTTACATGGACCTCGCCATGTTGCTCTACCGTGTTTCTATAGCAGCCCGAATGGACAAACGGTGCTACAAACGGTGTCACAAAGTTGAATACGTACAAAGAAGAAGAACATGTAACATTAGTAGTAATAGTCATCTGGTTCATTAGAAGTAAGAAGAGAAGAAGTATTATTATGCACAAGAGCCTACAGAGCGTGTAGGCCACTGTAGCCTCTCTTGGAAAGGGAGCGGTGATTTATGGTGCATTCATGTGGTGTCGGAAAATAATCATAATCTTTTTTCCTCTAATCTTTATGGCAAAAACAGAAATAAAGTGTAAATGGGACATAAAGAAGTAAACAGGACTTTGATTCATACAAAATCACATTGCATGTACATTATTTTCAAGCATGTAATTTGTAAGGTGATTATAATGGTTAGTTTGCAGTCAGAAGGACAACTTCCCGACTCGGGAACTGGGGCCATCCGAGGAGCACCTGAATGCACCGCTGATTGCAATTTGCAACCCTCAACACTAGATGCCACAAAAACTTGCACACTGAACCTTTAACTTCCATGAGTTTATAAATGAACAGTACTTTGCATATTATATAAGTAAACTGTTTAGTGACAAATGTAGACTACCCCAGGATGAAAAAGGGGAGGTTTGATCCTGTGGTGTGAGGGGTTTACAGACGTAGGCTAATCTAACGGTCTCTGTTTAGAAACCTGCAACATCCAATGCATGCGCCTCGTGGAAGGTGACGCTCATTTATGCTGACAAAAGAGATGGATGCACATCTTGACAGGTAGCTAACAGAGTCTGTTCTGCGGAATAATGTATCCACCTCCTAAGGTCCTTTAAAGACACTTTGCTGTGCGCATTGATCAAATGCAGTTATCACCGTATATTTTTGCTGAATCTCAAGGACTGCAACGTCTACTAAGTGTAATAAAATATCGACGACTCTAATCGTTCATAAAAAATATATTACTTCAAACCATTTATCACCACTGATGAACCCCACAAAGAAAAACATATTGTTTAATATGGCTTAAAAGCATAATTAATATAATTTAAAGCACTAGCCTGCTTGGAGGTGCATGCAGTTCTCGGCAGGCATGCAGAATTCTTCATTACACCAATGTGTATTTGCTCATGCTAAGACGTAGAAACCACGCTCATTCCCTCTTCTCAGCCATGAGTGTGTCGGTTCATCCACTGTTTTATTGTCCCTTTAAAAAAACAACAACTTTTCTTTGCAAACGTTTCTGTGGGATCTACAGTTTCCCAAACCGCCGCTCTGAGATCTTTTAGTGTGTGGTCCTGCCTCTCCACTCAATCCTCTGGTGTGTGCGTTCTTCAGATTAAAACATTAAAAACTATAATGTCTGGGGTATCACACGATTTTAAAGTCAGTTAAGATCTGAAACCAGGCATTAATTTCAATTCAATTTCAGTGAGTAGCCTACTGGTAGGCTACATGCAGTGATGTTACCTAAGGAGGTAAGAATGAGATGACTTCCTTTATGAACATGAAGATTATGTTAATTGCACGAATGGCTCTCTGTGAGACAGGACTCACAGTTCTCATTGTAAAACACTAGATGTCAGCAAAGAGCAGCTCAGCAGCTGGCAGAGACACTGAGCCATCACAACTCCCCACCTCTGATAAAGGGACACACTGCTGTGAGTTGGTGTGTAGTTTAATTTAGTTTGGAAAACTTTGTCCTCAAAGATGTGTTTTTAATTTTTTAGGTTGAAGTTTACATTAAAACTCATGCAGCACGTATTCATAAATTATACTTTGTAAAATATCAACTGTTGGCTTAAAAACATTTTCGATG